ATTATGGCATCTCTGTAAAAATCTTAATACAGTTTTAGTCCTTGAATTTACTATTAGAGACAAAGAAGGTATTGTTACTATTTTATGAGTGAGGTTATAGAACAAAAGAAAAATTTTGCATTAACCCTTTGCAGATTACCACCATGCATACTTTGCAGACAGCCACCATGTATACATTGCAGATTTGAATCAATTTGAAGAAGATGGCTGCCAGGTATGTATGGTGAAAGAAGTCTTATCTTAGAAAACAGGTGTCATATATGGCATAAAGAGAAATCTTACCAAAGAAAAGATCGCCACTATATTTTTGTTATTCTAGAATGTTTCTTTCCCAATAATCATATTCTTCACCCACAGCATCTGGTATTATATATTTTTTCTTCTGCTATTTGGGTTTCATAATATGAAATACTTATGTTATTTACTACCTTTTTTGTTTAATGAAAAGTATGAATATATATTTCAGATCTGTAAATAAAATATGAACAAAAAATCGCATTTCCACTCCAAAGCAATACTTTAAAACAGTACCAAATGTTCCAGAACTCATTGCGTTCCATTATCCTGTGTTTGGCTAGGGTTTATTGTAAATGAAAACATTTATGAAGCTAATCTATAGTAGAGTGGATTTTATAAACAAAGTTAAAAAGAAATTAGTAAAACTAAACTTAAAGAGGCTTATTTTGTAAGTATTTATGGAAAAATAAAGATAGCTTGAATTTGAAAATATATTGAGTAAAGATGAATCCGATGCAAGTAAATCCTTTAAAATATGGTGACAATATTCTTATGTAATCAAAAGGCAGAAGATTATAGAGAACTGACTTATGAGCTTCTGAAACAATACAAAGCAGTGGGTGTAATATGCCACCTAAGCAAGATTCATATAAGGAACTCTTACCCTGCAGAGAACGTTGGAGCTAATAACTGACAAACATGGAGAAAGTTCTCATCTGAATATATAGGCGATAAAAGTGCTTTATGAAGGATTTTTAAAAGAGTGTGAGATTCTAAAAAAAAATACCAGTTATAAAATATCTAAAAAAATCGTTTAATTGATAATACAAAATATACAAAAGTTATCTCTTTTAGAAGGAATATCTTTGTGGAGAACTTTCTGAGGGAAACTGACTTTTATTCATGTTAAATGTAAGGAAAACCTCATGCAACTGCCCAAACCTGAACCCTAGTCAAACTGTCAACATACAATGGTTTTATCAACTCTTTCATTTGTGAGCCAAATTAAAGTATTTTTAAAGTAAAATTTGATTCAAATTAAAGTATATTTAAGATGAAATTATTAATAAAATGGAGTATTTTATTTCAAAAGAAAGTTACTGTATTGTTGATGACTATACAATTTCTTTAGAAAATCTCTTAAGGCTAAATTGCAGTTATATAGTTGTTTTACAAATTATTTCATTCATAGAAATTGTATATGCTTTAGAATGTCTATGTTATTAGTGTCGTAATGTAAGATAATATTTTGGTTAAAGAAGGATGTTTCTGTCATTCCGTCACCATGTGTGTTATATAAGCTAAATTGTACCTGCATAATGTATTATTTGAGTTAAAAAGGAATGCATATATGTGGCATCAAAAAAAGAAAAAAAATGCATTATATGGAAATGTGGCACTTTTGAGAATTTCAATTTCAATAATCTTAAAATAAGCTCATAATTTGTTTAACTGTGTGCTCTTTTTGGTATCAATAGAAACTTCTTATAAATTTTACATTTCTACTTTTCTTATAAATTTACATTTTGGCATGAATCAGTTTACATTTAAAATGTTTAAATATTTGTTTTATTTAAGTACCTTATGTTTTATTCGAAGTGCCAAATATTAATTTATAAGTTAAAAAATATTTTGTTTTGCATTCTTAATACCTTTTTCAATGAAAAGAAAAATCTCATGCCATTGTTAAGAATTATGAAATATGAATTTACTTTAAAATTGAAAATTAAATGTATAATAAATCTTTTTTATGTTGTGCTATATTAGGATTTAATGGAAATTAAGCTTAATGAAAATTAAATTGATTTAATAGAATTATTAGTATTAAATTTAGAAAACATTTTCATTACAAATAAATAAGAAATTCCAACTAGAAAATATAAAGGAGTTGAATAATTCTCTGTATTATACATTTTAAACATATATATATAGATTTTTTTTTTTGAGCAACAGCATAAAATCTCTAGTTTTTCGTATTCCAATAAAATTTTAGTGAATAGTTTTTATGGACACAAAAATTCTTCTTAACCTTTTTGTAATCAGTATTTATATTGCCTGCAAATGCCTCATTTCTACTGTTGTGAATTAATAAGAGTTAAATCCTTAAATGAAAAATTAATGCAAAAAATTAGAGAGATGAAATGCTTCAGTAATTTTTAATCTATCACGCATACCAAAACATGCTTAATGTTCCTCAGTGGCTGTCTCAGGATAAATTTCATGCATTCAACTGGTTTATCTTTGTTGAAGTATTTTATTCGAAATGGTATTTAAAATAATTACGATGATCAGGTATTTTTAAAAATTTATTGCATGAACTTAATGATCAGTAAGTCTATTTATTGCTGTTGAATCCATTGCTAATATAATTTACTTATTTTTTTTCTGTCGAATATATTATAATATAATTTACTTCGTTTTTCTGTCGAACATAATAGTTTAACTAAATTTGTTCAAAGTAATAAAATATTAAAAAAGAGTGTTATGAAATTAAATATTAATTTGAAAATTTTGTTGCAGGTTTGTTAAAAAAGAAGTAATTCTAATTCTATTTCAGTGACTTGCTATGATTATTGTCAAACATTTGAAGGATCTTCAAATTCTTTCCAAAATCTAGTAATTAGCCAGTAAACATTCAGAAAACGTAAACCTCAGTCCCATTGATTGTGATGGCAGACATTTGACATGTAATACAGAACATTAGTAAATAATGAAAAGCTTAGGAGATCTTGGTTTACATATTCTAAAAACAAGAATGCAATTTTTTGTACACTCTGCAAGATTTATCAGAAATATGGTGCTGGTACAGAAATATGGTACAACATACTACAGGATTCATTAATTGGAAAAAAGTTTTAGGAAAATTAACTGAGCACGAAGCGTCTGGAATCCACAGAGATGCATCATTAAGTGTAAAATTCGAGTACAACAAATGAAATCGTGCCAAGGTATCGATCATGACACTGTGCGACTCATTCACACAGAGAGAAAGAAAAATGGAGAGAAAGTCTATATAGTCATGGATGCGGTACCTGTATCTTTCAACAAATTGTCGTTCTTTTCTTGGGTCTGATGATATCCCAAGTAGCCTGTTCACAAAGTGTCTTCGACCTAGCGAAGGAAATTTTCTGAATTAAATCTCTTCGCTAGAGAAACATAATTCAACTCTTAAGTACGAGTCAAAGCACCAAAGGTAAAGGAATCATATTTATCAAAGATAATTCAAAATGAAGTTATTAACTTAAAGGCAAAACAGTTTGAAGTAGCATTTTAAACGATATTAAAGAAGCCAAATATTACACAATAATGCTCGATTGCACCCCATATGTTCTCATACAGAAAAAAATGAACCAGGTGATTCACTGCGTAAAAACGTATGGGGATAAAGAAAATGTGGCATGTGAGATGAAGGAAAATTTAATTGATTTCATAGATGTTGTTGGAAAGATAGGAGAATGTATTTCTCAGTGCATTGTTAAAAATTAGTGTCTTAATTGGCACTTGATGGTTTAGATATTGGCCAATGTCGGTGTCAGTCTTAGGACAACGGGTATAATACGTCTGGCATTTCTAAAACAGTACAAGATAGGATTACAGAAATGAATAAGCTGGAGGAATTTGTGCCATGTATGGATCACTCCTTGTATCTTGTCGATGTGCATTCTGCTTCTTTGTGCCCGGAAGCAGTTAATATGTTTGGAATTACTCAGAAAATACTTCGCTTTTTTGTCGGATGCACTACTCAATGGTATATTATGAAAAAATGTACAAAATACAACTTAAAAGGAAGCAGACAGACAAGATGGTCGGCAAAATATGTGGCTGTGAAAGTCTTTCTAATGAATTTACCGGACATATTAAAATATTTAAAAGAAATTAAAATATATTTCTCTTGATGCGGAATCAAAGCACGAGGTAGGACATCTGGTCTGTTTCTTGACATCTGGACATCTGGTTTGCTGTGAAAAATTTAATTTACTGTTAACCTGAAAATTTGAGCTAATATTTTTCCAGAATTCAATCGAGTAAATATAGAAATTCAAAAGGAATTTGTCTTCCGCGTTCTGTGTAGTTAACGAAAGAACTGACCAAAACTGAGGAATTATAAAAAATGAGAGAAAAATCCTATGGAATATTGGATACAAGAGTCTAAAACAGTAGCCGAAAAAAATTGCAGTTGAGTCTACTCTAACGAACAAAAAATTCCACAGCACAAAAAGCAATCTGATGAATTGTTTGAGGACAAATCACGAACACTTCAACCTGTTCAGATCGAAGTTTAAGCAAATTAAAACATATTAAAAAATATCAACGATCATCGGTGAGCAAGGAGCGTTTATCAAGTCTTTCGATTCTGGCAACCGAAAATCAAACCGCAGATCAAATTATGACGATTCCATGCACTTATTTGCAGAACAAAAGGCTTACAGAGTAAAATTTTAGTTTTCGTTACTAATTCCGTGATATTTTAATAGCATTAAGGTAGGTAAGAACTTAAAATTACTTATGAAATAGGAAGTATGAAAAACAAGACAGGAAGCACGAATACTCTGAGTGATAGCCCATATTCTGTATAATCTTTTCAGAATTTTTCCTTTCTGCAATAGCCCGCATTTTGTATTCAATTAGTGGCTGAGAAATAAAAGCCGCTGAGCACTAGTAGTTCGGTCCGAGGGTCAAGCATATGTGAATGTGCTGGCTACATGAGCATTTCCGTGATTTTCCCTGTGTGTAACAGTACATAAGAGCTTGTTTCCCTTACATTTTTTTTTTTTTTTTTTTTTTTTTTTTCCACAGGGCATTTCTCCTTTTCCATGCAGTGCCTAATGGCGAAACACATGGTTAAATGATCAGACAAATGTGATCAGCAGTGGCCGAGTCATTAAGACCGAATACTGGTAGTTCAACCTTGCCTGGGTTCAAACCCAGGCGAACGGGATGGCTGCATGGTTTGTTTTTGTGGATTTCTTCATGTGTAACGTGAATACGAGCCAGTTTCCTTTAAAACGTTCCTCCACGAAAGCACCTCTCCTCTAAGCAGATAGCCCAATTGTCTTTGCCATATTTATATAATCTAACCTAACGTAATTTAACCAGTATGCAATAACATCGAATAGTGAGAAGCTTAGGAGATACTCCTTCCCCCCTAGAGTGAAAAAACGAATGGTTTAGAGGACTGGAGAATTAGAAGCACTTCAGTATTAGAGTTAGGATTAGGATTAAATCCGAAAGTAAGCTCACCAGAAAGGCGGTTCTCCTAGGAAGGGACGATTTTCTAATTATGTAACTTTGGTACGCATTTTTCCTTTATAACAAAACAATACAAAAGGCACTTAAGGAATTTAGTATAAAATGGAGCTTAGGTTTTTACTTGAAAACCCTACCTATTTCTGTATTTATTAAACAAATTAAAACTTGTTAGAGAAACCTAAAGAATGATGGGTGAGAGCGGCAGTTTTAGCTTTCCCCACATCAGAAAAATCAAAGATCCGGCACTGTATTTTTTTTAAATCTGTATGTACATTTTTTCTTCACTCAATAGTAATTGAATACCAAAGATAATTTCAAGAGCCAGTTCGGTAAGATTTACATTTGCAGTTGGCAAGGATTACTTCGGGAATTTTCAGCCCTGAGTTGGCCGTACACTTTTAGCTTTATTCCAGACTTAACGTAGTGAGATTTACTTCATCGACGATCATGAGTTCTTTCCAAAAGAGTTCCATCTTTTTCAAGTACCATTCTGAAGATTTTTGAACAATATATAGAATAATTGCACAAGCATGATTGGGTGGAGAATGTATTAATGTGCATTCGAGACCTCAAAATTGCAGATATACGGAGCAGCTACAAAAAAAAAATCTTGTTTTGGAAGCTTAATGTTTTGATCTGACCAAAGCGGCATTTATTATTAAAGCGGAGCCTTCTTTGGATATATTTATAAAGCTAATCCTCGCTGTCTTTTTACGTAAAGGTATGAATAATGTTGTTTTTATTTCACTAAAATATAAATAATTTATTAACGGCTATTTTTTACTCAACGAAGGTCATATAAAAGGTTAAGTTTTTTTATTGTTGCTATTGTTGAAAACATAGTTTTGAAATTATTCTTATTAAATTCTCTATCGTATTTCTTGAAATTTTGTGTGTGAAAATATATGTTTAGGATCGATATTTAAGGTGTAAAAACTGCCTTTTCTGAACATTGTAAACAAAATTGTATGTGAAGCTTATGCTTTCTAAGAATGGTGAAGACAACTAATTTCATTTCTGTGCTAGTTTTTATCATACTATTTTCGAAATAATTGGAGAGAGAAAGCTGTAAAATACATATGACTTTATTTGTGATACAATGAACTATGTACATAACTATTTGTGATTGCATAGTGTATAAATTATAAAGAATTTTACTCAAACAACTATTCATGTGGCACAGTGTCTTGGACAAAATTCTGTACAGCTTTTGATGTATAAACTGTTCCTTTAGTAAGGTTCACTGTCTTCAGCCTGTTCACGTCAGAAATTTTGCCTTTATTGAAATTCTGTAAATAAAGGAAAAATAAACTATATCAGTAAAACATACAGTAATTGATCTCTTCTTGTGTAAACATATAAAAACTGTTCATTTTACTATTGAATCATTTAGTCGTAAAGTAAAATTGGAATATATACTATCAAAGCTACATAAATTAAAATGAATAAGTATGATGATCATAATTAAAGAAATGAAAGAAAAATCTTAACGAAAAAATAAATGAATTTCTGTAAAGTTTACTCGAAAGTTTATCAGCAGAGATTGAAGTTAAGATACAATAACACGCCGAACAAATATTAATTTAGAAGGCAAACAACAAAAATCAGCGTTATATTTTCAAATTCTGACAGGACTAGTTTCGATGGTTTTACCGAACCATCATCCTCAGCTGCAAAAGCGCAAATGAACGAGATAAGATATAATGATTATATAAGATAAGAAAGCCTGGATAGTAGACAAAATCTTCTGTTGCCCAACATTGTTGGTCCGAAAATCACACTTTCAATTTTTCTGCTGCCAAAAGTATTCAAAAAACATCTTCCATTGGTGAACTGGATTTTCTAGAAGCATTTCACATTCAAAAAAATATTTCTGTTCTAGTTAACGACTCTAATTCCAATTCATCTTTGCCTTCAGCCTTTAAAGAAATTTTGTTTTAGTTCTGGTTTCATCAACAGATGGCGCCAGTAGCTTATCTCCTCTGTCCAGGCTTTCTTATCTTATCTTATCTAATCAATTATATCCTTATCCCTCGTTCATTTGCGCTTTTGCAGCTGAGCTGAGGATGATGGTTCGGTAAAACTATCGAAACTAGTTCTGTGAAAATTTGAAAATATAATGCTGATTTTTGTTGTTTGACTTATAAATTAATAAGAAATTGAAGTGTCTAGTATGCAAGGATATGCGAATAAAATTTCTATGAATCCGATAAGATAAATATTTATTTACATTTATTCATATCGAATTTCACAAACAGAAAATCGCCATTCATCCTTGGTTTTCATGGTGGCTAGTTTTATGGTTGACACTCTTTTTTTTAACTTAATTTAATCAAAAACTTGATTATGGCACTATAAATCGACACTACACACCACTTGCCCAGTGACAGTGATTTCGCAAGATAATCTTTTAAGTAACTGGGGAGATTTACATGTCTGACAGTTCTGGTAATCTCAGTTTCAATGCTGAGTCCTTGAATTTTCTTCAGTAGCCTTGAGTTCAGGTATATCGCCAAGTTCTGTTTCCTCGGAATGTGATTCTTAGAAATGAATATCTGTTTCATTAGAAAGCATGGTTTTTAGTCTGTCGATTGAAACGCTTTTCCTTGGATTTCAATATTGAAATACTTATCATTTCTTGCTCTTACAGGATATGGTCTAAGACAGATAGGATGATGTTGTATAGGAATACATGAACATAGTTGGAAAGTTATATTTCAGACTGTAACTATTTCCATGGGTTGTATTGTTTTTTGAAGGTTTTGAAAAAAATTCGGACCGTTTGATGTGAGCTACTGTTGAAAAGAATTCTCCTGATAATGATATGAAGGATCCGTACACAAGCTCTGCAGATGAGCAACGCACATCTTCTTTGATGGCAGATCTTATGCCTAAAAGAATAATGCTTTCGGCCATGATTTTGATTCCAGCAGGTAACATTTTAGGCTTCCTTAATCAAAAACTTGATTATGGCATTATCCTTGGTTCCTGGTCAAGCCATTTGTCTAAGGATGATACGCAGTTGCAGTTATTCGTATGAAAACCAGGATATTTTCCCAAGGGTTTGAAAAGTTGGCTATTAAACTGCCGATCTTTGTCAGATACTATTTGATTCAAGATTCCAAAGCGTGGAAACCTGGTATAAACCAAAGCTTTAGTGAATGATTCTGCAAATCGATCTTCTAATGACATCGCTTCAATCCATCGTATATAACGAACGATGATAGTTAGGAGATACTATTTGAATCCTTTGCAGTTATGTAACAAACTAATCAGTGTTTGTTCAATCAATCCAGCATTAAAACTGTATTTAAAAGCTGGAATTTGGAAATTTGGAGGTACTTTGAATTCTCCCAAAGATAACTATGCATTTCTATTAACTTTAAAGACTGTTGGCATACAAACATGATGTAGTCCAAAGTTGGCAGTCTGATGTTGAGCCATATGAAACGTTGTTTTATCAATTTTATTGTGGATCTTATTCTGGGATGAGGTAAGTTATGAACTGATGAAAATATTTGCTGCTGAAATTCTGCAGATATGGACGATTGGACGATTATAATTTATAGAAGTATCACGGTAGACCTTTCTTATCGCTGTCCGCAAAGGGATTTGTAAGATTATTAAGTGTGGTCTGCTTCTGTGTATCTTCATCTTCTTGAGAGTCTGCTATAGTTTGCACGTCTATTGGAGATGGTACAGAAATGGTGTCTGAATGGTGGAAATTGTTATGAACGGTATTTTTATCCCCTTAGATGAACTGGATATCTGCCGAGAACTGGCCGATGTATGACAGTTGTCTAGATTGCCGTGGCGAGGCTTTTTCCAAATCTTGTTGGAAAGCAAATGTTATTAATTTGTGATCAGTGTATATTGTAAAACATGAGCCCTCTAAGATGTATTAGAATTACTTCATTGCTGTATAGTCTCTGTCATAGGCATTACATTTTATTGTGTTGGAGTAAAAGTTCGGGAAAAGCAACTCAAGGATTCTTTTTCATCGTTCACAATTGGATGCAAACCAGCTCGAATGGCGGCGTTTCGGGTGGGTGAGTTAAACTGGTGGGATGACTAAATACACCTTTTAAAGATCGGGAAAGGCGTTTCTTAGTTCTTCCGTCCATGTTATTTGTTTTTTGAAGCTCTTTTTGATACCACTGAGAACTGTTGTTAAAGGTTATTGCAGTTTCGCACAGTTTCGTATGCATCTGTGATCAAAATTCATCATACCTAAAAATCATCTAGTGAATGACTTTGGTTCCGAGAAATTGTTGAGTGCATCAACTCTCATATCTCAGGAACGCTAGTTTAGTTTGACCGAATTTACACTTTGCCGCATTAATACAGAGACAGTATTCGTGTAGTCTCTCAAGGACTGGTCGTACATGTTGTTGATGAGTTTTTATCCGAAGAGACTATTTGAATGTAATGCAAATAGCAAAATACGAATTTTAGTCCATTCAGCACGTTGTTCATGAATTTTGAAATGACTTTTAACTTTATTATTAACTACGTTCAGTTTTAGCAAAGCCGGAAAATCGTTAATAATAATAGTTCTATATGGATCATGCTTGGCATTTAAAATTGGAATATTATTATTGTTTTGAGGTCAAGGAGTTCTATTTATTTTAAAAAATGTAGCGCCATCAATCAACTTACAGTTATAAAATTTGCACGAAAAACTATACCTAGTATTGATCTATTCAGTTCCGCACTTATGAAGAGCCAGCTGAACGATCGCCTGAGTCCAAGATCATGTTTGTGTAGTTTTCGGTCATATGTTTTGATTTTTGTGGAATTCGCAGCAAACAGTTCTAATTTTGAGACGATTCTGTTACTACAGGTAATGGAGGAACAACAGATAGTCCTGCTTCCGTATCTATTAAAAACTGGGTAGTCGATTCTTTGTCCCTGATGAAAAGACAACTCAGCTCCATTCCTTTTTCCACTGTTCTCAATGAGAGACGGGGGCCTGGTTTTCCGAGTTGTTTATCTATGTTTATCTGATAAGAAGTTACACGGTTGTTAAATGATTTGTCATCGATTTTTTTGTAATCACTGGACCTCTTACCATCCTCCCATGTAAATCCTATCTCTTGATTTGGATCGGGAACGATGCTAGGGGCGACTGCGGCGTTGTATGGATAAAGTAGAACTTGTAAGCTATGTTCCCTAACCCGTTTTTGTAAACTTTCAATCAGTCCTATATTATGGTCATGGACGAAATAGCGGCTATTTGGGAAATAATAGGATATAATTCCCAAATCTTACCAGCCATCGTCGCCACCTCGGTCTTCAATTTTAATCAATCACAGTATCAAGGAAATTAAAATAATTGCAGTTGAAATAAATAAAAGCTATCTAACGCAAGTATTAAATTTTCTAAAAATTTACATATAATTTCGTGTTTTCGAACATTCTGAAATACTTCATAAAATTGTACTAGTTTTCATGATTTTATCTCAAACTTTGATTAAATATCTATATATTCAATCAACTGTCTACTTTTTTTTTTTTATTTTTTATTTTTTATTTTTTTTTAAGGTACATCAAACGTAGGCTTAAACTGGATTTTCCTGTGTAGAAGCTTGCTCTAGAAACGAAGCTTTTAGATAGAAATTCTAACCTACCTTGATGTAAAATATCTGACGTGGATATCACATGACTTCCTTGTACAGTCTATTAAAGTATACACATTTTTTAATGCACTTCATTTAATTCTTCGAATTTCATTAGAGATATATTTCACATTCAATCAAGGCAAGAAAAAAATTCGCGGCAAGGAAAAAATACATAAAAATTCAAAACATCTTCATTAAAAATATCGAAAATAGAAAAATCTAAAACACAAAATGCAGTTAAACACAGTTCAAAAACAATTTTTACAATTAAAATTTTACTAGTTTTCATGATTTTATCTGAAACTTAAACTGATTAAAACAAGCAATTCAGCCAACGGGTAGGACACCAAATTTTCGGTGCACAAAATTAAAAGTTTACTTTTGGTCCCCCTGGGGTACAAAAATACACTGACGTTGGTGCATCTATTGACATAATTCATTATTCTCCGAAGAAACAAGCGGCACCACCTAACGCCACTTGTTGATAACTCTAGAACTGTTTCATTCGGGTTGGCTAAGAACATAAAAATTTTAACCGGAATATAAGAACAACATATTCAACCACTACTAAAGGAAAAAGTGCAGTTTACTAACATTTAAATATAAAAATACTGAGGTCACAGAGCAGGGTAACAGGGTGCGAATATGCAGGTTTGGCGTGGCCGATTGCAGCGAAAATGAGAGGTGCACAACTATATGTTATAACAGTCCCATATGCCAAATTTCAATGTTCTACGGCTATTCTTTTTTGAGTAATGCCGGATAAATACATTCGTATGTACATACAGACGGCACGAAAAAGATCTCTTTTGAATCCATTTTAAATTCATTTTACAATCTAATTTTGGAAAAAAGAGTCCTTTATTCTGTTCGTACATGCACATGTCACGCAGAAAAGTCATTCAAACTCGAGATCAGTCAAGATGGATATTTTTGTTGAAATATAACACCCGAAATGTTTTGGTATTACAATACTTCGTTTATTTCGGACAAGAATATAAAAATTCCCATATCTAGGAATCGTTTTCATATAAAAATTACCAATTTACAATAGTGAACTTCAACAGCGTCTTCAGATTTAGCGTTTTCGTTTATCTTAGTAAGGCAATCAATGCTCATCCGTTCGAAATCTTAAATACTAGTCGATATCATCTCTCAGAAGAAATTATTGTTAAAATTCCTCCACATGGATAAATATCGTCAATTGGTATATTTTTATTTTTCTTAAAATAACAGTTTATTTTTATGTTGTCTTACTATTTCTGTGTGTTTAAAGAACAATAAAATTACTTGAAAAATCGCTTTCCTTTTCCACTTCACAAATCGTAACAGATGATAGTAGGATTTTCTGAGGAAATTAGATATCTATTCTGCATTTTAAAAAGGAGAACTTTCTTTTCATGACTTTGGTTAATTTTCCGAATAGTTTCGGTACACTTATTCTCATTAGAGTTAATTTATTAAGATTTAGAACATTGAGGGAAAAAAATTATAGCATACTTATGTAGTAAATTACAACTTACTTTTCTTGTCCGTGGAAAAATGGCATTCTCTCTTCTTTAATGGTAATCATGATGACGTTTCTGAACGAAAACATAAATTGGCTGACTACCATGGTATCCATCATCCAGCAAATCATAAGCATCTGAATGAATGTCGTCAAAGTGGCTGTGTTCATCTATGATGTTATGGTGATGGTCGATGAGTGGAATATGATCAATAATGTTCTTTTCAGGATAGAATCGGTAGTCGTAATGAGAACTATGGCCTGACCAATGTCCATATTTATCCACATGGAATACGACACCGCTATGGCCCAGGATGCCTGCTAGAGCAAGTTCTGCCATAATGAAAGCCATCAGAGACGAAATCTAAAATGCGTTGAATATTTTAATTATTAAGCACTATTAAATTCATAAAAATTAGATAGATTGCACAATAATTCAGAGAAAAATGCATGAAATCAGGAAAAAAGTATATTAATATTTCTGATATCTTTAAACGAAGTACTATATAGTACCTGCTTAAGATTTCTTAATATAGTACGCAAATCATTTTCAAACCCGCATCATAATGCATTTCCTTATAAAGGTTCTAATGAAGAGATATTGCATTACTTTCTTGGTTTTGAATAAGTATTAGGCAGCTTAGCCTAGGTTAGTAGATTAAGACAGTGGTCCCAGACTCAGATTGCATACTGGCCGAAAGCCCCAACAGCTGACGGGCCAGAATTGTTTTTCTTTTAACATAATAAAATATTAACAAAATTTTTAAAAAATTTGAAAAAAATTTAAAATTTCCTTACTAAATATTATCGAAATATACATAAACAATAATGATAACATAGCAAAGGAAAAATTGAATTTTATTCTTATTTTCTACCTGAAATCTAAATTTTAGTATTAATTTTGCAATTAAGTGGGTAATTAGCCAGGATGGACGTGGTTCCAGCTACTTAATCTGTACGAATTCACTCTCTTCCCTGGAATCTTTTAAAAATACCTCTTTATGTAATGATATTATTGTTAATATACAGCAGTCTCTCGGAGATCTGGAGAAGAAGGGTATTTCAGTGTTTTTTTACATTTGTCCGTGGTCATTCGGGTAATTATGGAAACGAGAGAGCTGATTGGCTTGCTAAGAATGCAACTAAAAATGATATTAATGTTGATGTAAATATTCCAAAATCTTATTATAAAGAAACATTCAAAGCTAATATGATTGAGCAGTGGAACTGTGATTATATCTCTTCTGATAATGCAGTGTTTCCCAACCTTTTTTACCTCGCGAACCAAAAGAAAGGTCCGAAAACATTTGACGAACCCCCTATGTAGTCGTTAATGACAGTTAAAAAAAAAAGCAATAAAATTTGATAGAATATATATTTTTCATATTGCAGAATAATTGATTATATTAATCGTGAAACATTTAAATAAAACATTAATAAGACTAAAATGATGGCTATAAAAGTTGAAAACAAGATAAATTTAACAAACTGGTTCTTATGTTTTACATTTGGAAAAACGCTTAATGGGATATCTGTGGCTGTTTGATAGAACGAAGCAATTCAAAGTTAGGCTCAATATCTGACGATTTCAATCTTAGATCAGGTTCTGCATTCAACTTTTTTTGTATTTATCTTTCGGATAAATATATGTGGAAAATCCTTTCTCACATAGATATGTTGTGCAAAATGGTAATAGAACTTCTGACTGAGCCAGAAGTCAAAGATTGATCTTTAAAAATTGCTTCTAGAGAATTGTCACAAGATAACTCTATGAGTTTTTCTTTTTCCAGTATATTTAGAGAGGTTTCGGAACTTACATTTCCTTGAAATGGATTACGTATCTAAATGTTTGAGATGGATATATTGCATCTATTGAGCAAATAGTCATCGAAAGTTAATCGAAGATAGTTCAGACGCTCACATGTACTCTTTTAATGTTTTCGTCAAGTTTAATTGAATTTTCTGATAAAAAAAACTGACAGAATCGAAATATCCATACTCATTCATCTGCAGGCATTGAATCCAAAAATTGATCTTTTTCAACATAGCCTCAATTCTATCATGTACGCTGAAAATGGTGACACCCTCGCCTTGTAAAGACATATTTAATTCATTCAGTTTACAAAAAATGTCAGCTAAATACGCAAGCTTTTGCAGCCAAAGAACATTGGATATACAAGAAGACAAATGAAACGGATGGACAATAAAAAATGCTTGAACTTCAGACTTCAATTCAACCAAACGCGTCAAAACTTTACCAGGGGAAAGTTATCTAACTTCAGTGTGAAGTAGTAAAGAAACGTGGAAACTTCCAAAATCCTCCCAAAGCGTATGGAATAGAACGTAATTTGTAGCACACGATTTTATTAAGTTCACAATTTTCACAGCATCACTTAAAGTAGTAGATAACTCTGCAGGAATATGCTTACATACTAAAGCTTGTCTATGAATATAACAATGAGTCCATTGAATTTCCTTGTTGATCTTCTTCACCTGTGCCACAAAACCAGAAAATTTTCTTGTCATTGATTTTGCACCATCTGTACGCAACCCACACAATAAGACCAGCATATTCATTCTTTTCAAAATACCCATTCATCATATCGAAAATTGCTTCTCCAATTGTGTAGGTTTTCAAAGGTTTTGCAAATAATACATCTTGAACAATATTCGTAAAAAGATATCTAACCTAGACGTGTAAGACTGCGGCATTTGTTACATTCGTCGATTCGTCAAGTTGAATTGCAAAATAATTCAATTTTATTCTTTTTACAAGTTTGTTCTCCACGTAATTTGCCAAGTCATTAATTCTACGCGACACTGTGTTGTTTGATAAGGGAACTAGCTCATTTCTTTGCTGCCTTTTCCCAAGCATACATTGGGCGATATCTTTCGCACATGGTCCAATTAAATTTCCGCTATTGTATGCACTGGTCCAGATCTTGCAATTCTATAAACTTACTCGAAATGGTGCTTCAAGGGCCATTTACTATCTTCGTTTGTAGTCAGAAAGAAGAAAGGCTACACTTTTGATATCTGCTAATTTTCTTTTGAAATATTCAAGAGGTTTATCTTTGTGTGTCGGATGTTTTGTTTCAATATGTCTACGAAGAAGTGATGGTTTTAAACTGCTGTTGGCAAAAACTTTTACATGTAACACAAAGCGGTTTAGGTTCCGACTCATCCCCAGTAAAATGAAAAACCAATTGTAGATAGTCGCTCTCATACTTTCGTTTTTCCCTTTTCTATCATCATTTCCTTTGTTTTTCGTCTGGTGAAACGGTACCTCACTACAGCTTTCAGTACTATCATCTCGATTATCATGTCTCGTTTCTAAGCGACCCGTTTAGCCATCGATCCATAGTAAAAATTAGCTATAATAATAATTAAATTAATAATTATTAAATCATTTACACGAGAACTTGACAGTCACGGTATCACTATCATTCAAGCTTTACAATGCTAAGCCTACGTATGAACGTCGACAGACAAACAAAATAGACAGATAATACAACACTACTCTCCCAGTTCCCGGTTGTGAACAAGTACCTAATTCTGAAATATGTAGTAAACTGCCTTAATTTGATATTTATTTCCAATTGCATTGTAAAAAAAAGATATTACATAGAAGGGAAAACTGCTGCAATGATTTTAAATATAAAGCAGAACATGATCTAATCACAGTGATAAAATGTTTAAATATAAATAAATGTTTGTAATAAAAAGATATAGATTTGATTACTTGAATAAGAGGAATAAATTATAATGTATAAATTGTTGATATAATTTGATATTGATGAAGTAATTTTGAAAAACAATAAGGAAAAAAGAAATGAAAATTGAAATTTATTATAGATTTCTTAACAAAACAGGCTGCGAACAATATGTTTTACAGTGGGTGTGTTCTTTAATAATTTTTTTGTTTTTGTTTTTGCTTTGATTTAATGGCGTTTTAAAAAATCCTCCATTACAATATTATTTCGCGCGAACCCCTTTGCAAACCTGTGACCCCCGGTGGGAATTACTCTGATAAGGGATCTGTTACAAAAATTCTTCCCAACTATTTGAAAGAGTGAAAAGTAAGGACTTGTTGCTCAATTTAAAGTTACGCAATTTGTCTGGACATGGTAATTTAATTTTATCTTGACGATTTAGGGTGATATCTTCCAATTTGTGTTATTTACAAGCTTAGCGTTCAGCAAAGTGTTTCCACCGCTTTTTTGACTGCCCATTGCTTGATAAAGCAAGAAATCTATTGAATGCAGATTAAAATTAATTGGAATCATTGACCGCTGAAAATTTTATGATTTTGTATCTTCAGCTTCGGCCTCGAGCTTTCAGCGATTTTGTTGACTTTTATTTTAACATTGTACAGGATTTCTTTATACATTTTATAACTTTTGTATTACTTTTTTCGCGTTTTTTTTTTCTTTGTGTATGATATCATTGTATTATTGAAAATTGATGTTTTACTTACAATTTTGCCTTTTGCTTACGATTTGTAAGTCTCTGTGATACTGTGTGCCGAGGATTCGTTTTCTTTAAATAAAAGAAAAAAAAAAAAAGAGACGAACTGATCTGATTTTATTAAATTATAGAACAACTTTTTCAGCTGAGATTTTAGCTTTGAAATCCTCCATTCTGAGGAAGATTTTCTTAAATGTAGTGCTTCCAATCATCACGTATGGAATGGAGCCTGGGGATCCAGATAGGTAACTGTTAGATTACGGATGAAGTTAGACATTCAAGAGCTTGGGGTTAGCTTTAACCCATGTTTAGAACGGTGCCTACCGAGGCCGTCTTTTGTTGGCTGGGCTGCTCCTCTCTCAATTTTATGTGAAAATTTTTATTAAGAATGACGAATGGAATTGAAAATGTATGAAGATTATTTAGTTACAAAGAATGTTTTTGAAAAATTTATTCATTTATTCATCCTTCTAATAAATTTGGTTTTAATAAAAGTAATCCCCTGTTGTTTATTCATATTGACAGATGTTCTGGGTCGGGTGCGTAGGAGCTGCCTTTGTTGTTTTTTTTTACTATGGAACTGAGGTGGATTGTAAAATGTTGTAAAGTTGTAAAGTTGAACATATATAATTCACTTTTCCAAGCAAAAAGTAAAGCGTTCAAACAAGCCTTATTATGGATTAAAAATAAATTGTTTATACCCACGTTTGTAAATATTTACACTGACTGCCTGTCATTTCTCCATGGGCTCTCCCGCCCAGACAATTTCAATACATTAATTTTCGAAATTAAGAGTCATTTAGAAACTTTGAGTTCATATTTAAATATTAAGCTACATTGGGTTAAAGCCCATATAGGCTTTATTGATAATGTTCAGCCTGGCCAAGCAGGCGGTCT